AAGTGTACACTCCATGTCTTTCTAAAGTCATAATGAGAGGACAATGAGTTCAATGAGAATAACTAAAGTCATATCAAACAACAAAGACATGCTGAGGGAACAGATGAAAGAGAAAAGTCAGGCAGATATAATCAAGATCAAATCAGGTGTAAAAATGCACTGAAGCATCACAAAGCACAAATTCAATTCAACACATTGATTACAGAATTTATTAATTGACTGTAATTATAGCCTTATTCCATGCATTACGACTTCATTTCTCATTTAAAACACAGTTCTGGACCTGTTTTCAGTTGCACCTCTGCAAGAGATGTGTCTTCAGTGTATATCTGAAAATGCTTATGAATCATTCATACCACAATAATCAAATCAAATTCACTGACATTAATTATAATCATCATCAAAGGAAGTTGTTCTCTTTCCAGTTGACTTTGAGAAACATTTTCTTCAAATTCGGATTCATAGTCTCAAAAGTAAAATTTTTACCAATTTGTAAACAGAATTGACTGAAAATCACAAATAGATTTATGAATATCTCCAGTTATTCTGTAAAGCTTGTCTGGGGATGGAGCTTAGTGAAGGGTCATTACACCAGCATTACTGTATATGCCTGAAAGATCATTCCTTAGGGCTGGCTCACAACAAAATAACCAATTTTTCCACTCCATTGTGCTACTTTTTCATTGTTTTTCTATGTAAATGTGAACTAGACAGATGTGTTTTTTTTAGTTGCACTTAAGTCTTTTGTGGCATCTCGCACATGACACAATGTTCTAATCTTAGGGCTGGCTCACAACAAAATAACCAATTTTTCCACTCCATTGTGCTACTTTTTCATTGTTTTTCTATGTAAATGTGAACTAGACAGATGTGTTTTTTTAGTTGCACTTAAGTCTTTTGTGGCATCTCGCACATGACACAATGTTCTAAAAAAAGGCAGTGCTTAAGCTGAAATGAGTTCAACTTTTAAAAAACATGTCTTGAGACTCCCCTGACCGCATCTTGCGTTTTCCAAAGCAAAAATGCATTATATGTTATATAATGCATTATATGACATAGTTATGTTAAACAAGATTACTTTCACCTTGTGTCTGCGGTGTGAGAAACCTCACCTATGCACTTTGGTTAAACAGGAAGGGCTCACACTGAACTGCTGCAGATGTGGAACAAATGTGTGAAAGTAACAACTAACTGCTGGTTTTGGGTGGTTTTGTGCTTAATTTATACAAAGGAAGTGACTGTGATGTACCCATTAATGATGTAGCTCACGTGGACTTGAGCTGTGTTATGTCTGCAGGTCAGGAGATTGATGAAGTGAACTCTAGACTGTTGTGAAATAAGAGCAGGCTGTGCAGAGAGCATTGAGTTGCAGGCTAATGAAAGACAATGACTTACAATGAGATATTTAGCATTCGATAAGGCCACACACTTGCAGGTGCGACATTTCTGTTATTCCCTGAATGCTGCAGATAAACACTTTCTCTGTCTCTCAGTCTGATGTGCAGCCAGATGCTTTTAACGGTCTTTGTGTGCTGTTGAGCTGTCTTACCGTTACATTAACACAGGAAAAACTGAGCAGCAGGAAAAATTATCACGTTTGATAGCTAGGGAGGAATAAAAGAGCCTTTCATCAGATTCCTCTTGTTTTCGGAGTAGCGGGTTCGCGCATGAACAAAAACCGGAACATTTCAATAGTCCTGAAATGGACCACTTAAAATAGTTTAAACAATTACTGTCCTTTGCTGTCTCTCTCTGTGTGGCTGCTTTGTTCACAAACCACTTTGAATATAAATTTGGATGCAGGTAGGAAGGAAAACCTTTTATTTGGAATATTTTCCAGCAGTCACACCATGTGAATTTGCACTTCAGAGAGAGTGGCAGTGTTTGTGCTGTCAATCAGCTTTGACTGATGAGCACTTCTGCTCGATTCCTGCCGATAACTTTTTGCTCAAGAACACGCTCGTCCCTCTGGAGTTTCTTTGCTTGCTGTTAATATGACAACTGCACAGACATCTGATTGGACAGATGACATTATTTGACTCCTGTGCTTTACATGGGTTCCTGAAAATGTTTACATAGCAACGAATAATCAGACTGACAATTTTCAAGTAAACATCTCAGTCCATCAAATTGAGCTGGTTTTAAATGAAATTATGTTTTGATTGAAAGGGGCAGTGCCGATCTCCAATAATAGTACAATTTTAACTGCGTAACCCCTTGAATCCAACAACTTACGTGGGTTTATTTACATCTTATAAACTTATCTTTGTCTTAGAAACTGTTAAATATGCGAGTCTGATTGCAAAGTTTAGGATTAATATGAACATAACTTTCAGAATCTAAAATCAGATTCATTCAGAACATACACAGGACAAATGGAAGGTACATTGGATGGTTTTAAAATCATATTGCAATGTTTCACAATATGATTTGTTCTTTGAAGCAACAAACAAAATAGGGTAAAGGTCGTAGTGATTGGACCTATTTTGTTTTGTTGTTTTCAAAGTGTATTACAGTACAACTGATACGTAATGTGTAAAAATGCTGTTACTCCTCTTCTCACTGTATTTTACCATAGTTGTAAGTTTGCTATGTTTAAAGTGAACTGGAATGAGAGTTTCCGCTCCTAGAGTGAAACGACCTTTAGGTCATCTTTATTTATCCACACAGTTACACAGTAAGACTGAGTCTGTCATTAACCAAGACTGTGTGTTTTATTTTGTGCCTGACAGAGGAGCAAATAAAACAGGTTACCAGTAATGTGTATTAGAGAAACACTGAAACTGTTTGACACCTAATCGGAACTCAACATTGAGCCTAAACTAAACGCCAGGAAGTGGAGATCAAAAAAAAAAAAAGGACCGAAACAGAATATGCATAAAACTAACAACAAGTCATTGTCGACAAGTCAACAACAAACTTTGAGTACTAATTTCACTCATACTAGCAGATGTTTAAACTGTTACTTAATTGCAAACCTTGATGTGTACGGACTGTTCCTTGCCTTGGGAACAAGGCTGAACCACCACATTCTTGCAGTTCAAACATACAATGTCATAACAAAGAATATACAGTATAACTTTCATATGGCAGGCTTCAGACTGAGTGCAGCAGAGAAGCAGTAAGGTGAACAATAGCAAAGGTCAGGCTGGGGTAATTCAGAGAATACATGAGTCCAGAAAGAAACAGAGAAGATGCAGAGGAGAACAACACAGGCATAGCAGAGGACATAAAAGAGATGAAGCCAAAATAAGGAGCGGGAAACATTTGCCCAGGAACAATCAGTGCTTCGTCAAGGTTAATTAGCCTGCAGAGGCAACACCATCATTTTCTTCATTCATCATCCAGACTCAGCATTTGTGTTATGTGAAGTTAAAGCAGCTTAATGCAAAACTGAGGCAAATAGTGAACAAAAGGTTGTTTATGAAGCAAACCAAGACCATTACTGAAAGTGGAAAGTCTTCAGTTACAAAAGAAAAAAATAACACAAGCACATACCAGAATTAATTAACTAAGGAACTTATTATACACTATCATTCAAAAGTCTGCAAGGTTTTTGTTTTGGATAGAAGTCTCTCGTGCTCACCAACAGTGCATTTATTTGCTCAAATAATACAGTAAAAACAATAATATTGAGAAAATTTAATTGAACTGTTTACCGTTTATTATATAAGATGTAATTTATTCATGTGATGGTAAAGCTGAATTTTCAGCAGCCGTTACTCCAGTCTTCAGTGTCACATGATCCTTCAGAAATCATTCTAATACACTGTGGATAATATTATTAACCATGTTTTTGTGGTGATACATTTATAGTATTTCTTGCTGAATAGAAAATAAAAAAGAACAGCATTTATTTTATTTTACATAATCTTTTATAAATGCCTTTACTATCTTTTTTTGTCAACTGAAAGCATCCTTTATGAATTAAAGTTTTCATTTATTAAAAAAATCTTCTTGAGCCTAAACTTAAATGAAAATGTATCCAAATAATCTCTATATCTAAATAATATACTAAAAAACATGAATACTCAAAAGTAAAAGAAACAGACACAAACACAGACACCAACTAATGAAGCTCTTCAGAAATATCATAGTCTGCCATACATGTAATAATAGTAAAAATAATAATTATTAACATAGCACCTTTTTAAAACCCAATGTTGCTTTACAGAAACAATCATATCAAGAATAAAATCACAGCACATAAGATACACACGAAAAGCAAAACTAATAGACAACAAAAAGCAACAAAGACTGAAAATGCAGTTTTGTGCTTACGCTCACTCTACTACAAACTGCTTTTTACTTCAGTTTGATCTGCTCTGGCTAGACAAAGCCCTGCTAATCATAAATAAAAGATTACACCGCTACTGTGCTGTATGTACACAAAGGTTTAGACAATTAGTGGATCTTTACAGCCTCTTCTGCATCAAACCTTGAATAGTGTCACATGGGAAACAGCAGTCCGTGTTACAGTGCTATTAGTAGTAATAATTACTACTCGCTACTAGTGCATCCTTTGGCGCTAAGACTAGCTTGAATTTTTAATGAATGACATGACAACAGACACGCTAATCTACACAGTAGATGTTATCCGAAGCACCTGATGTGTTCTTGGAGTTGTAATAACAGTGTGTTGAGTCACAGAGCGGCTTGTGTTTTGAATGAAAGCGCCCGTCACCTTAGGCACGCTGCCAAACGCATGCAGCCTCCAGTGACCAAAGTGGCTACCTTTGGCCTTTCTTTCACATTCGCCGATCCGTCTCGCTCTTTTTTTCTTACACGCTCATCTCCCTCATTCGCCTCTTCTCCCCACCCCGTCTCCGCTTCAAAAAGAAGAGCGGCGAGGAGCCGGGATCCGGAGGAGTGGAAATAACCTTCACATGGACACCGTTCACCGTTATCAGTCAAACACACGGGCTCTGTCTGTAGCTGAGCTCAAACACACACACACACACACACACACACACACGCGCGCGCGCCGAGAGGGTACGTACCACTCCATGGACGAGGAACTCAAATAGTTTGCTCTTGGTGGCTTTGCGAGCTCCTCCAGCGGTCTCCTCCGAAGCCATTTCCCTCTGGTCTCCCTCCACTCTGGTTTTCCCTCTCTTTTGTCTTTCCCTCTCCCTCACCTCTCTTGCTTTACACCCTTCGCGCACCTCCTCAACCCCCCTCCGAGGCTCCCTGCTCCACTTCCCTTACTTTCTGCTTTCTCTCTCTCCGAGACGGAGTGTGCTGCCCGGTCGAGTCTCTCGCTCTCTCTGTGTCTCTCACGCTTGCGTTTGGTTGAGCTGCCTTTCAGCAGCCCGGCTGCGAGAGAACGTGGGGGGGTTGAGAGTTGGGGGTCTTTCAGGGGGGTTCCTGCTGGCCCACCATGACTGTCCCCCCTCCCCCTTTTACAAACACACTGACTGAAAAGCACACACGCTCACTGGCTGCTGCAGCTGTTGCATTCCATTGGTAGATAAGGGAATGCTCGCTGACTGGTTGCTCGCAGCCCTGCTGCGGTGTAGTTAGTCTCGCCGCTCACCAGACCCCTCCTCCTCTACCTTCACTACTGCTTTCTCTCCTGTCCTTTGCTGCAGTCAAACCCAGCAATGCTTGGAACACGCTGCTCATTCTCAAAAAAAAAATGGAGGGAGGTTTCTTAAAGCAGCTGCAGTGAGGAAAAGCTGCCCAGTTTTAGACTGAGGTGGAAATAAAACGGGCTCAGAGAGCACTTTTTTTACTCTACCTGTCATCTTCAGCTTTTTAATTTGCTGTATGTCGCAATTAAATACTAATACCTTCAATAATTTCCTGATCTTCCTTTTCTGTCGGATAAATTTTGCTGTATTAATGGATTATGCTGTTAAAAATATGTGCGTTAAAAATGACTCACCCTCAGTGATAATGAACAATTAAAATAACTCCAGGATCTTCCCATTGTGCAAAAAAAGTGCAATATCCAATACACTATACTTCTATTTAGCCAGATTATTTTGTACATACATATTTTGTCTATCTTGCCTACTGTGTACATATGAAGAGTTCAGATGCAAAAGCCATCTGAATTTTTTTTCTAAAATTAGTATTTTTCACAGGCTCCTATGTTTTTTTTCACATTAATGGCAGTTAAACAAACCTATTCATTGCCATTAAAGTGAAATTACTGAACCTACACATAGGAACCTGATAAAAATGCTCATTTTAGAAGAAAATTTCAAACGGCACTTAGAGGCTTTTGCATCTGAACTCTTCATATGTTGATTGACTAGTTTTATGGGGTATATGTCAAACGTCACCTGACCAAAGCAGAAAACAGGTCTCATCGCATCCGCTTGTCGGAGAAAGTGTTAACAGCAGTATGAACTGAGGGTGATATCTATGGACTTTTATGGTAATCAACTATCAACTAAATCAAAGCGTCGAGGCCAGAATAGGAAGTCTGTTGAGCATAAGCATGTTTTACGGTTTTTGTAATTGGTGTGTGTACTGGAAGCTTCACCAAGACAAATTCCTTTGTGTGTGTGTAAACATACTTGGCAATAAATCTGATTCAGCTGTCGTCTCATTCCCTTACTCATTTGACGAGTCAGTTCCTCAGACGTCCATGTGCCTGATTTCCCCATAACTTCAAACCTATGAACTAACAACATGAATTCAAGTAAATATGATCAAAATATCCTCTACCATCCAGCTATACTTCTTTATAAAACTGTCTGAGCTATTTTGCACAGAGCACATAAGTGGTACCTGTTACTTTCTCAGTGCTAATAATATTAAACCAGTTGCTCTGTCACTGTGTGAGTACAGCATGTGATTGATCAATCCAGCTATAACAAATATTAACCATATTTTCCCAGTTTAATTTTTCTGAACTGGAAATATTGTTTCTATTAGGTATTTTAACTACTATTTGGTCATTGGCATGTAATTACATTTACTTTTAGTTATTATTCAGCACTTTAAGCAGAGTCTATTTTCCCTACAAATTATTAAAATGTTTCAGCCAAAACTTTCCTTTCAAACACTGATTGGCGTAACTAATTTTAGATTTTTGGAAAAATTTCAGATTTCCCACATCTATTTGAACACATTCAAAAATGACTACAAAAATAAAGATTTTTTTTGTTAAAAAGATAGTTCACCTAAAAATGAAAATTCTGTCATCATTCACACACCTTTATGTTGTTCCAAACCTGTATGAGTTTTTTATTCTGTGGAATATAACAGAGGATATTTTGGAGAATGTCTCCGAGTTCTCCGAGTCCATACACTGATGTCAGCGGGCTCCAACATTTTTCTAAATATTTTCTCTGTGTTCCTCAGAAGAAAGAATGTCCTAAACAAATTGCTTTGTCTACGTCACTGTCAAACAGAAGGATTGTAGATGGCTTATATACTGTTACCTCGTGTACAGTGTAAAAATACAACACTGCTATTCAGTAAAACAGCACTCTGATAGTGCTTAATCAAATTGTTTTATATTAACGTGAAGGTGTTAAAATAAAGTGGGGCGACAAGTTTAGGCATATTTAGAATTGAGGGTAATAATTTAAAAACGGAGCACTGAAAACCCCTTATTTGTTGACCACTAACCTAAATATTGGTTGTTTTTTGGGTCTTAAAATTTCATTTCCCCCCCCCAAAACAAACAAAAAAAGTTAACTAATCAATATTTTTAAAGTAAAATGGTTAAATACATTTTTACTTGAAATTTTCACTAATTTCAGGTCTCTGAAAATAGCTTTAGCACAAAAAATCCTCCCAGTCACATGTCGTCTCCCATCCCCCTTGACTTCCCATTTGCTAAACTCTAAAAGAGCAGTGAATGCTAAATTATTCATGAGGTGTTTTAAATGACACATTTCATTGTGTGGTAATTGGTAAATGACCACTGAAAACCTTTACATCCGGAGCCTTCACATTAGGAACATCTGTCAAGACATGGATTTTTATTTATTTTTGGAATAACACTCAACAGTGAATCATGCAAAACCAGAAATTTTCAAAAGATGATGTAAGGTTGTGTTAAAACAATCAAGTGTCAAATTGTTAAATAATGCATTAAGAACTTGATAGACTGACAAACTGAATTTAATTTTCTCTGGTATTTTGTTACACTTAAGTTCAATTGATAGCACTGTGTTTTGACATTTGAAAACAACACTAAAATATGCTGTTTAAATAAGCATTCAGTGCTGCAGAAACTTGTTTACACAGATGTAGAGGGATTGCCCTAACAAGGACATAACTGACAAACTACTGGCTACAACCTGTGAATCACAAAACTTATGACCACATTGTCTGGCTAAAAACTCCAAAGTTAATAAATCAATATCAATATTCATGCTATGATTCTGATGGAGATCTGGAATATGAAGACTAAACACCTTTCTAAAATCCAAACCAAATGCCTAAATTAGGAAAAAAAACAATGGTTTGGTTACAAAAGGCCATTGTGTGTTGAATAATCATAAAGTGTCTAAAGGTCATTCATCAAAACTCTTCGCATTAACAAGAAGGAAGTTTATAAAAGATGCCAGAGAGACTGAGAATAAGGTACATCAGTCAAACTGTGACACTGTCACACAAAGACACATGTTTGATACCGCTCAATATATATTAAGATGGTTTTATATCTATATATTTGAGTTTTAATGGTTTTACATGTTGTCTTTGCCATTTTAATCCTCTTAATCATTTTAATGTGTGGATGTCTTTAAATGTCCATGGGTCTGCCTGCCATGTGATTAATTAAACGTCACATTTTGGCATTGTCTCATCTTTTTAAAACACTTTTTTTACCTCACAGTTTAATCTGACCCCATTTTAAACCCATGTAATTCGACCGATAAGGCAGAGCGTTACTAAACATATCTCTGTGTAACACAGGCCTTTATGGGAGAATAGCACAAAGGAAACAGTTACTCAAAATGAAAGCATGCCTGGACTCTAGAGTCTGCCAAAAATCATAATAATGACAAATTGTGGTGTTTGAAGTGATTTTGTGGTCAGAAAAGAGAAGTGGTGATGTGTGACACAAACCTAACGCTGACTTAAAAAAAGAAACCATCAGCAGTCACATACGATTACAATGCACAGAAAAATAATTTGAGAGGTCCTGTTTTTGTCTGCTTAAAGTCTAGGGGGAAAAAAACAGGAAAAAAATGTTTTTGGTGTGGCATTGTGACCCCATTTTACATTTTGATCACCCCATTTCAGGATGTAGTTCTACAAAAGCATCTCATCAAAGAGCTGAAAATATGTGGTGGTCTTAGTACCACTTTGAGCCCCCACCAAGTCTCCCTTTTCCCATTAAAGCTCTGCCAAACGCTCAGGTCCCATTGACTGGGAGGTGAAGGGGGTGGGGGAGCTTTGTGGGGTAGGAAGAGAGATTGTGTGTGTTTGTCTATTGTTGGAGACTGCGGGACAGTTTGACCTCAAGCTGCAGTTTTAGGTTTCTCCTGCAGAGGTCTGTATACGCCTCCCAGTGAAACGATTGACTAATCAATGTGCCAAAGCACAGAGGCATCACATTCTCAAACAGTGAGTCTAGAGATGGAAGTCTGAGACAGAGTGAATCATTTCAACTCCTAAAACACTTATTTATGTACTGATTAGGTAACGGAGGAGGAAAAAAGAGGGGGAATGAGCATGAACAATCGAAGATCAAATGTTGAATCATATAGATAAAAAAGTGATCTAAAAATCTAATAAAACTAATAAAAAAAAACTCTAATATTGTCCAATAATCTACATTTGAAACAAGCTGAGAACTTTTCATGAATCACAAAATGCTGTTTCATATATCAGTAATTCAAGCGGCACAATAACCCAATGAAGATATGACCGTTTTCTTGATTCAGCTCAGCCTCCTTCAAGTATACAAACTTTCTGAATGTTCATACATTAAAAGCTTGTATCCTGGGTGGTCCATTTTCAGACTAAATGCACTCTTGGCACAATAGCCAGTAGCCAAGCCAAACAGACGATTTTAAAATAAAAGCAAGCTACCCTTTTCATTTAAAGACCAAAGCAAATTTGACGTGATTACAGTGAAAGTAATAACATCTAAGCTCAGTTATTTGCTATATTTGCTGCAGAAGGTACTATAAATTACTGTGTTTAAACTGATGTTCCAAACTATGCACTTGAGTTTGAGCAGCTGGCAAATTTAATATTCAAATCAACAAAGAATAACAGAATCAAAGTAAACCTGTAATAATAAAACTAGAAATTTGCTACAAAGACATTGTTAATTTGTAAGAACATGCTTTCATGAAGAAATGCAGAAAATATTAAAGGCAGCAGGATTTTGTGCTGTCCTTGACTAAACACCTCTATCCTCTGTCTTCTAGAGTTCCTGGCAAAACCAGTTTCTCCATCTCTCGGAAAAACAAAACTGTGGAGAAGAACTGTTC